AAGAAGAAGAAGAAGAAGAAGAAGAAGAAGAAGAAGAAGAAGAAGAAAAGAAACGGCATTTTCAAAGAAGAGCCAAGAACTCTTAAATCCCAATTTCAACTCCACTAAGAGTCTGGCATTAGCAAAGCTGCCAGGTGCCCAGGATTCCATCCCCATCCTTTACATGAACTATGCCCCCTTCCACATCCTGTCTAGTGGAAAAGAGGTCCAAGCGAGGCAGAAACCCAGACACACTTTGTGAAATGATGTAGTGTCTCCAAATCAGTATCTAATCGGTTGTGTGTAATATCTTTGGAAGTATTTCCCCAAGATGTCTCTAAAACAAATGTCTGAGAGTAAAAGCCGTTTTAGATAGAAGTGGGTGCTGTACTAGAGCAATAGGAGTCCTGCTTAAATAATGAACCGAACAAATAAAAACTGTTCTGTCATTAGAGAATACCATGGCATTCTGAAAAGTATTTTGCAGCACGTAAGTAAACATCTTTGAGGGCACTTCAAAAGATAATTTCTATGCCGTTAAAACTAAACAATGTCCATTATGAGATAAGATTTGTAGAAAATAAAACTACATAGGAGACTACTTTTAAGTCACCTCTCAACTCCCTGCACTAATGCACACTCAATGTCTTCAGTCTTTTTATTTCCGAGAAGCTCTCTGAAAAAAAACCTGGTCCCTCGTGGGCCATCCAGCTGTCACCTTTATTATCATCTTTATATATAAGCCATAACTAAAATTTCCCATTGCAAATCTTCGGTCAATGATGCAAAGCCACGGTTGGAGTCATCTGACTTATGAGAGGTCAGCGCCTGGTTCCAGCTGCCAATCAAACCCTTTTAGGACTATCTGTGGAATATCCACAGTGAGCAAACGTGCGCCTTGAAAATGCTCATTATAATATGATAATTATAATGAAAGTCGTGGCCAAGGACTTTGCTAATGATCTTTAACCTCTGACTTGGTCGTTTTACATGCCACTTCCCCCTTTCCTTCTCCCGTGCAACAGTGAATGGGAAAGGCAAGGCACATAAATCCAGACAGTGAGGGAAGCCAAGTTGTAGGAAGAGAGGCCCATGGAAACCTATTTAAGGAGGCTAGATTTATTCAGCTGTGCTATCCCTGGAGACTTACAGTATATGGTATGTTACATAGAATACACAATTTATCTCACTGTCATGCTGTGCAAACAGGGAAATGAGAAAATGATCAAGCCACACAAGAAGATGCACTTTATGATACTGACTCGAACATAGATGGGATCAGGGTTACAAGGGTTCAGTCTTTTGTTGGTTTTATCTAAAACTATTTACAGTCTTGTTCTGGAGACTGCATAATGAAGAGAGATAAAGAGTGGGAAGGAAGTGGGCTAGCTGCCTTCATAGTTTCTGACTTGTGAAAGGCTCCCCCCTCTGCTGTTTGGCATTGGGACCTGCCCTGCATTCCACTCTCCATGGTTTCTACCCAGTGTTCAGCAAACGCATAGGAAAGTAAATCCCAAACCAGAGTTTCCTGGAAGAATTCAAGAGGCTACTGGGGATTCTTAAGATCTGGAAAGGGTAGGTACAACTCGGGAACTGAAGACTAAAATCCTCCCATCATATACTCTGACAGTAAGGAGTAAGGAATACTGTGGGAATGGACTGCTTTTAATTCTATACTTTTAGAGAAATGACCTCCTGTTTTAATTTAATACAGGTAATTATAATAAGCTCAAAAAAGTCTCCAAAGACAGACATGCAAATAAGGGTCCCTGAAGGTGGCGACAGAAGTTGAGAAATCCTGAATGTCCTAGGTGATGGTGACATGAGTCTGTTCCAGCTGAATTGAGAGGATAGCTGGAGGCTAAGCTCATGGCTGGGCTAGGGGAAGAAGCAAGACAGAGAGAAAGAGAGAAACAGACAGAGAGATACAGAGACAGACAGACAAAGACATACAGAGAGAGATCCAGATTTTTATTAATTCCTGAAAACATGGCCAGAGACAATACAACTTTGCAAAGCTGGCACGGAATAGCTCACAGGTCCCCTGAACCACCAGGAAGAGGAAATAGAGAGACTTTGCATTTCACAGGATGGAAACATGTTCTACCTTGAGGTCCAAGTGGAGGATGTAATTCTGGTGCATGTACTGGATCCCTTCACAGATCTGCTTCATGAACACGATGGTGTCCAGCTCTGTCAAGTTGCAGTTTTCATCAATGATACGATCAAACAGCTCCCCACCCTCCACACTGCAGAGGGAAGAGGTAAAACTTTTAGTTCCGACTCCCTAAACACCACACACGTTTTCTCATGCTGCCCAGGTGCCTCTAGCTCTTCCAGAGGTGTGTGTGTGTGTGTGTGTGTGTGTGTGTGTGTGTGTGTGTGTGTGTGTGTGTGTACTTATTTCCTTACCTTCTTTGCTGTATGGGTTACAATTTTTATGCTGGATACCAGCAGCACACCTTAAGTATATACCTTCAATGTCACAGAACTGAAGTTTCAAAGTCCCTCTTAATGGTGGCTTCAGCTCTAGGTGAGCCAAATCTATCACTTTACAGATATTGAGGAGGAAGAGGACTCAGGGACACATGAGGTGGGATTTCAGCATTAGCAGAAAATGAGATGGAATCTTTACCTTTTGGGTTCTTAGATTAAGTATAATGGCAACATGCTTCCATGTAGCTGATGTTGGATACTTCAGTTTTCCAAATGCTTTATATACCATGGCAAACAAAAACCACCATTTTAAAAATTGAAGTAAAAATGAACCTACTCTCTGTATCTATTAAGTATTAGAACTACTTGAGTTTTGTGTTGCTGGTGGTGTTTGTTTGTAGGACTTTGTATGGAAACCGGAGCATCATGCATGCTAGGCAGGCGCTATACCCCCTGAGCTGATTGAGTCTTTACAAAAGTGATTCTGAAATAAAGCTGTTTAGCTTAGTACCAGGGGCTTGGCATGTGCTTTGTGTTCATGAAAGCTTAAGCACCCCTCACCCACAGCTCCATTTTGCCAGGTTTTAGCTACTCGTGGTCACCTGTGATCAGTGTAACACAGGGTATTCTGAGATAGAGACTGTATTTGCATAACAAATTGTCATAATTGTTTTGCTTTACTGAGCTGCTAACTTGTTAGTTAATCTCTACCTTGGGCATTTAGTTATCCTCTAGTTACCATTCCAATTTCAAGCATGCACTAAAAATGTTAGAACATAGCACCGAGGTAGCGGAAATCACCATTGAAGGGAGCAAAACTCACAAACCACTTTCCTCCAGATTACCCAGCAGGATGATCTAGAGGACACAGGTTTGATACATGCTGCACCTATTTTGTCCTGCTCTGTCTGACCAGTGAGTCCCACTGGGAGATTGCACTTATAGGCAGTTTTCATTTCTGACTCTGGCAAGATCTCATGTCTCCTACAACTCAGACCCAGTGGTACACTGCCCGTGGTTCCTGCTGAGGCATGAGCGCCGTGCAGAAGATCTGTGAAGGTGAACGGAAGGGAGAGGACACCTACTACTCCATGACAAGGACGATGTCATGCTTGGACTCAAAGGCATCGTAGAGCTGAATGAGGTTCACGTGGTCCAGCTGGTTCATGACGTTAATCTCGTTCTTCACGTCATCCTGAGGAGAAAAAAAAAAACAAACAGCCAATTAGTACGGTGAAGTCTGTTCCAGATGGAGAGACCCACCTCCCACGGCCCTTACCTTGTCCTTTACACCTCTAGTCTTAATGATTTTAGCAGCCAGCTTCAGGCCGGTTGCTTTCTCTTCACACTTGTGAACCTGGCCAAAACGGCCCCTGTCAAAGAAGAGACAGTTCAAGTGAGACACTGTGGTCTGCAGGGTCCCATAGCAGTCTCTGCCAGGGGGACAGTATGAGTTCCCCAGGCATTTGTCTCTCAAGTGAGCAAACCTACAATCACGTTTACCGTATCTGGAACAGTACTGGCCAAGGTGAGTTTTATGGGTCATATATATCTCCCCTGTACACGGAACATTAAGAATACTGTTTCCTGAGCCCTGCACCTGTCTTTTGCAGGCAGGAAGACGTGGCCCCAGAGTCTGTACTTTCAGCTGATTTATATGCATACTAAAATTAGAAAGCCACTATTTTAGACAATTCAGAATCTTACTGAACACATATAAATGTAGAAAATAGAATTTATAAGCACATGAACAATACAAACTATGGGTCAGGGATATCAAAATCATTCTAGAAGTTCCATTTAAATAAAATAATAACAATTTGCACATAGATATGTAAAATCGAAAGTACATATTGTGGCCAACAAGTCCCCAATGAATACATGTATTTTAGCTTAGATATCAGTTTAATAGTTTATAGGATAACGGCTGAGCTGAAGAGATGGCTCAGAGGTTACGGGCACTGGCTGTTCTTCCAAAAGTTCTGAGTTCAATTCCCGGCAACCACATGGTGGCTCGTAACCATCTATAATGTGATCTGGTGCCCTCTTCTGACAGGCAGGCAGAACATTGTATAAATAATAAATAAATAAACCCTTTTAAAAAAAAAAGACAGCTGCTTCCATGGACATGGTTTAAGTGTGCCCTTTTAGGTTCAAGTACTAGAAACTGAGTCCTCCGAACAGAGGCGCTGATAATTGCGTGGAGCCTTTAAGAGTTGGAACCTATTGATAAATAACTGTGTCACTAGAGGTTTTCGGGATGAATTGACATAGTTGTTATTGGGCCTTAGTTAGTTCTCAAGAAACAGTAGTTACAAAGCAAACTCCAGTCACTCACTGCATTCCTGTTCTATTATGTGATTCATTTTCTCTCTTTCTCCTTCATTTTCTCCCTCTCTCTCCCTCTGTCTCCTCCCTTTCTCTCCCTTCCTAACTCTCTCTCTGTCTCTCACTTTCCATGTTGTCATCCACTATGATGTGACACAGCCAAAGGGCCCTTCACTGCAGCCAAGTGGGTGCCGGTGCCATGTTCCTAATTCTCTAGAACTGTAGGCTAACTGAACTGTGTCCATCATGAAGGACTCAGCCTCAGTATCTCATTATAATAGAAAACAGAATATTCTAGCTTCTCACTCATGTTATCGTATTCAGACGTGCACACACATGAGCAGCTTGATTTGCTTCCCTTAATGCTTATTTGATAAAGGTCTCTGCTCTGTGCAAGGGTGGCCATCATGACAGGGAGTGAAAGGGAAGCTTCTGTAACAACGCAGTGAACCAGAGAAGACCCTATTCTTGTCGCCTGCAGAGATGAGGACGATCATGCTTGCCATGTGCAGGGGTAGAAGCAGCCCCAAATTACTCTGCATTACTATGAATGTGGATAAGCCACTACCTCGATTCCAACACTCACTATAGAGGTCCTCTTTGCCGGCACACACGAACACAGCTCCAAGTACTCCCCATGTAACCCTGATTAAGAAAGCGTCTTTTCCCCTCATTAGCACTATTCTCTGGAGCGCCTGGGCAGCAGGGATGTCCCATCACTGTCTGACTACACTGACATCTCCATGCTTAGGTTTTTCACATGACTTGATCTGAAAGCACCACACCAGACTGGTTAGTGTCATGCTAGCTGAACACAGACCTGAGGTATACACTAAATAACCTAAGGGAAGAAAGGCTTGTTTCGACTCTTGGGTTCAGAGGGTTCAGCCTAGGGTCACCCAGCCCTGATGCTTTGGGCGTGTGGCACAGCACAGCACAGCAGCAGCACAGCAGCTGCTCACTTCATGGCAGCTGGGAAGCAAAGGGTAGAAGAGGATGAGAAGCCACTGGGTTTCCACTAGTCACTTCAAGGACATGCTCCTGGGGACCTAATTCCATTCAGCAATTCCCCACTTCCTACAGGCTCCACCGTGTCCCAGTAATGCCACCTAGTAGCCTATAGTCTTATACACATTGGGAGAGGTTTTCTTTTATAACCTTAATGTGACATTGGTATATAAATACTCTAATGTAGGAAGATGAACCTAGGAAAACTGCTGAGAACCCAGCGGTATTTGACCTGTTTCGATAGCTCCTCCTAGCAAAATATGAGCTACTGCATCATGAACACTTTTACTACCAACAGGCCACCCTGTACTTGGTGGTGGAAATAGCAGTTAAAGCTAAAACAGCAAGAATGGAAACCTAGCAATTGGGATACATGGATCTGATGCTTTTCACCTCCTAAGGGTTAAACCTGGGTTTGGACAATCCCTGGACCTTGCGGTGACTCACACTGGGCTTTTTCCTACTCTCAGACATTATGACATGGCACAGAAAGCAGACGCTAGATGGGAAGTACAGCCACCATGACAACCTTCTGGGACAAGGGACGATTTTCAACAATGATCAAAACTTAAAACACTTGTTTTTAGTGTCTGCAGTTCTCAAGTCAAGATCAGCAAACATTTCTGCCATGTCGGGCTCCCTGCTCTTCCTGAGCGGCTGTTCAAACAGAGCCTCACTCACCCTCCTAAGATCTCAGATTTGCTCACGGTGTACAGACTGTCCACTGCAGCATGTTTGGCCATTACAATCCGATGATCAAATGGGGCCATGGGAGCGGGGACATCATCTGTAAGACGAGAAGAAAAGGGCTGCCCATCAAGGACTCTGACCTCCTTTCAAAGGCATCAAGCGGCGTGCGTGTCTCATAGTAAAAACTCGTAAGACTGAAACGCAATCGGCCACCTGTCTTCTTCCTAATGACCCCAGAACATAAATTTCCATCCCATCCATGAATGGACTGTAACTCAAGAATATGTTATCTAGGGTCTTTGAAAAGAAATGTTATTCACACACTCTTTAGGGTAGCTTTTAGAAAATGCAAGGCAGTGAGAAATCTGCAGTCCTACGACAGTCCCACTTCTGGGGGTGAAGCTGACGCTCAGCAGAAAAGCACTTTCCTAGCATGGACAGCATTCTTGGTTTGCTCTCCAACACCACAATTATTTTTCTCTTGTATGCTTTTAGGCCTGAGACCATTTTTCATTTGACCGTGAGAAATTAATTGATCCATCTTTCTGTAAAATGCTCCTGTATAATTCATATTTTAATTAAAGCAGAGAGAAAAGGGGGAGAGCGTGAATTATTTCCTGTGTCATTGAAATGTTTGATATTATGTATTACTTTTTAAAATGTTTCAGGCTTTATTTCAGAGGCACTTAAAGTACAGAGATGATTTTTTTTTTCCTGGCTAAATGGAAATAAAGCACCCAATAAAACTCTGCAAGCTATATTCTACAGCTATTCAGTTTCTCCCCTCTGCCTTCCATCTCATATATTTAAGTGAGAGTCCACATCAGCATGAATCCTAACAGCATAGCTACTAGTAAAATTTCTCCTAATTAATGGTCTTCATATTTTCCTATGACCATTGCTGTTCATGAACTCATTCATCCCCATTTACTAATTAAAACAGCTGCTGCATAGATATAGCAAGGGTACAAAGAGAGGGGAGTAAAAACAGATATTTATTTATCTATTTATTTATTTATTTTGGTTTTTCGAGACAGAGTTAGCTGTCCTGGAACTCAGAGATCTGCCTCTGCCTCCTGAGTGTTGGGATTTAAAGGGGGACCACCACCACCATCACCACTGCCTGGCTCCAAAACAGCTATGTTCTTTAAAGTTGGCATTTATCCAGTATATATTTCCTGAGCACTTACCTTGTTCCAAGTATACTATCAAATAGTAATATTAATTTTGTTTAATTAACTTAGCATTTTTATATTCAGAAAGCAAAAATCTCTTGGAATCTAATTTGATGTGAACATTCGCCTCTCGTGCCATAAATATACTCAGAAAGAAAATCATGAGGGAATTCTTCAGGAAGCATTCACTGCTTTAGATTTTGATCAGGCCGGGAAGATATCTCCGTGGGTAAAAGTGCTTTTTTGTGAAAGCCTAACAACATGAGTTGAGATCCTTAGGATCCAAGTAAAAAGCCTAACATTGTACCTGTAACCCCAATGTTATGGCTACAAGCCTAGCCCCAGTCTCATGGGAATATGGTAGAAAATAATAACCAGGACACTTGGTGATTTCTTCACATGTACAGATGCACACCTGGAGCACACATTTTTATAGGCGACACATATATACTACATAATATTCACACACACCTCAAATAGATAGATAGGTAGATACATAATACATGATAGACAGACAGATAGATAGATGGATAGATAGATAGAGAGGACTGTTTCTCTTGCCTACATGAAGAGTGTTCAAGTTAAACATACAAATGGCATTAATGTGGCATATATCTCCTTAAAGCTGTGAGGATAAGAGAAATTAAGTTGGAATCTTTGCTGGGGATAGCTAGGAAACTTTAAAAGTCCAGAACAAGAGGCATGTCCTACCCAGTGGGTCTGCTGGGTCTTGGTCTCTAGAGGAGGTCATTCCGTCCTGGGGCCTATCACCCAGGCCCCTGGCTTGTCTGGTTTCTTCAGTCCTAGTTGTGGGCCCCTCCCCTACACTCATGACATCTATCTTGCTCTTTTTGTTGTCCTCGCTCAGGAAGCACTCCTCCACCACTCTGCGCTTACTGCTGCCAAGAGACTCCAATTGTTCAGCATTCTGGAAAGTGGACCCTGGTGCCGAATTTCCAAGGATTCCTGGTGTAGAAATGGCCTTTAGATTACTGACGCACCTGGAAAGCCAAACACATTTGCAGATTTCAGCATTTCAAGGGGAAAAAAAATGTGCAGATTGTCAAAGTTTTGGAACTGAAACTTTCTTTTGATGGTATCTGGGGAAGAAGATGTGCTCTGTGTCACAGAGGTGACCAGCTCAGCAGATGAGGACATCAAATGTAAGTAAGTTACCAGACATAGAGTCTTCCAAGGACCTCACTGTGAGCCCAAAAGTGGTCATTTATGAAACTTAACAGAACAGAGAAATTATAGAAAAGGAACAATAATCTCCCTAAAGATTGGCAACCGTAGAAGAGCCATGATCGGTGGAGGAAGTGGCTTATTTAATGTCTTTTAGCAGGTCCAGGTCTTCTGAAGCACATCTTGTAATCATGGACGTCAATAACAACCCATGCTTAATAAATTGAAAATTAGATTTCTTCAAGATTAATTTTAAATGCATTATACTAAAGTTAAGTAATAATGACATCTTAAAGGCTCTTCCCCCCTCCCCATGAGAGGTGTTTGGATATCTTTTGCTGCAAACAAACTCAGAGCATCTAACTTTAATTGCAACACAAAAATTCCTGAATTTGTACTTGGCACTTCTTAATTTTAATTTTAAGGAAGAAACTTAGTCCATTATCTCCTTCCTACAATACTAGGGAAGAAACAATCAATGTTTAATGGATTAGGCTAAGTCTTTCAGATTGGGATTTTAATTTACAGCTCAGCACAATCATTATTTAATTCTTAGCCTTAGAAAGGAGATGTTTTTATTGTTAAACAGGAAAACTTTCTACTTGGTCTTTAAAGGGTACTGGTTGCTGGAGATACTGAAGATTGTGATCTTAGTGTTGGTGTAAGGTTTAGAAACAGAACAAAAGAACTCAAATGTGGCTCAGGGTGGAGGCATGGGCCTAGACTGAACAATGCCCTGAGCTCTATCCCTGGTGGAGGGAAGCAAAGAAAGAAGGAAGAAAGGGACTGAGGAAGGGAGAGAGGAAGGAAAGAAAGGAGGGGAGCAGGGAGGGAGGGAGAAAAGTAACTGAAAATATAGACGAGAGAAAGAGAAATAGCAGAATAATAGGAAAATGTAGCCATGAAAATTAATGCAAGATAGGAGAATGGGTTCTAAACACTGCCTTTAAAACTGTCTTCATTTTTCTTTCAGAATGGCCTCAAATATGATCGCACAAAAGCCTGAGAGAGAGCAACTGTGGGTGTGTAATGCTGTAACGCTACCTCTCGTGGCACAGGCTGCCATCCATCTCGTCAACGTGCTGATTCTCAGTTGAATGTTTGTCTGGCACTGTCTCACTTGCAGCTGTTGAAACTCTGTCCTCCGCTTCTGTTCCTCTGCTTCGTTCTTCAGAAGGAAGCCCATTTCTCCCATCTTTGAAAAACGAACATCCGTTCTTATCCTCAGTGTCTTGTTTATCTGCCAGGATGTTGCTTTCTGCTCTCTCCAGACTTTCGATGCATGGACCATCTTTTCCACCTGCATTCTCTCTCAGCTCTGTGGAATTTCTTGGAACAAAATCTGCCTTGTCCTGTCTTTCCATATGACATATGACACAGCTTCTCTGAACTTCAGAGGCACTGGTCTTCTCGGCATTTTTCTTGTTGAGCTTGGTAACTTTTTCTTTCTCGGATGAGAACTGGTCTTTTGGTGCAGGTCTCTCTAGAAGCCACAGAACACAAAATGTTTTAATGAAGAATGCTCATGATAACTTTAGTTTGGGCTTTGTTTAATGGCATCTCTACTCTGGCTTCTTTTTGACAGCAGACTTAAGCCTTCAGAAGCAAAACAAAATGATATGTGCCCAGCTGACTGATAACTGCAGTCACCCTAACCCTGATAAAGCCAAAGCCAACCAGACAAAGATATTAATTAATTAATTAATTAATTAATTAGCAGTCCTTCTTACAGAATTCAGGAATGTGTGATTTCCTAAGTGTAACAGAAGCATCACTTGGGAGGCAGAGGCAGATGGTTCTCTATGAGTTTGAGGCTAGCTTGGTCTTCAGAGTGGATTTCAGGGACAGCCAGAAATATGCAGAAACACCCTGTCTTGAAACACCCCCCCCCAAAAAAAAAGTACCAACAGAATTCTCATGATGATCATTAAGCAGGTATCCTAAGGATGTTACCTGTGAGGGCTGATGTCCTTCCACCTTTGACAATTGTCCTTTCATTCAGTGCTGGGTTGGACCACACATTTTCCTCAGCCTGTGGGTGCACAATCAAGCAACTGAGGTTACCTACTGTATACACACTGCTTAGCCTCAAAACTACTGACACAGGCTATGCAATACTTCATGAAAAGAGCATCACATCATGATAAGATGGCTAGCATTATACCTGGCCTCCCTACCAGTGCCAGGAGAACCCTGCCTTCCAGCTGAGATGACAAAAAAAAAAAAAGAGAAGACTTCAGACACTTGAAGTTTAATTTCTTAATTAGTCTTACAGTGCATACATTATTACTGATGATGTTTACCCTGCTGCGTGAAAAACATCTCAACTCTGTTATTGTCTGACAGAAATGTTGGTACTAAAAATAACATTAATAAAGCAAAATATCTCCAAAGATTACTAAATTCCCTCAGGAGTAAGGGAAAAACTTGTTCCAAGTCGAAACTACTATATTATATAGTTCAAACATGGGGGGGGGGGGGGAAGCACAGAAACTGATAAGTCATGTAAAACGTAAAAGAGTCTGAATTAATAAAACCCTCTACAGACAGCAATATCAAAGGAAATGAGCTCACTGTTTTCAAAGGAACTCTGCAGAACTCCGTCATGGCGTGTAGAAGGTAGCCAATCTCCATTATTTCATTAAAGGGCACTGGTAATGCGCACGCCACCCTTGACCTCCATTTTAGTTGTATTAAAGATGTGAATGAGTTTTCTAAACTATGAGGAGATGAAGGCAGTGAGCTTCTTAACAGCAGGCTTTTTCTTTCCCTAGAGGACGTCTTTCTCCCAAGCAGATAAATGTTCTCACAATCCTAGTTTTCTTAGATTCGCTTAACAAACTCTTCCCCACATCATGTGAGAGATGAACACTAGCTTAAACCACACAAACTCTAATTTATACACTGTAAACTGATGAAATCATGTGAAGCCAGGAGAAATCAGTCCCCCCTCTTTGGAGCAGAATACAGTTTGTTCCAGGAGGGTTTGCAAACACGAAATATCACATAAATGAAGAGTGTAGGGACTCAGACAAATTGCAAATGCACTTACAATACAGAAAGCTTCCTTTTCCCCAGATGGGCACCTCACCACACAGAGGCACATTTAGTACATCTATAGAAAGCCAAGGCTGGAGATCAAAGCTATAGAAAGTGTCTCACTTTTAAGTGCAAGCACAGCGATGGCAGGGGGAAAGGCCTTCACTTTTCTTAGGCCAAGCTAGTTGCAAGTTATGAATGTAGACACAGAAGTGGTCCTCATGGTAATGCTGGTGTCCCTTGTAATACTTCACTGAACTGTTTTTGCTGGTCTGTTTCCTCCAAGATGTTGGGTTTATTATAGCCATGATGCTTAGACTAGAGATATCACAAAGTGATGATGATGATGATGATGATGATAACAATGAAGAGGAAGATGATGATAATAGTGTGGTCATGATGATGGAGATGATGATGATGGGAATGGTAATGATAGCTAACACGTACTGGCCACAGTTTGTAAAGAATTCTTCAATGCACTTTTGCATGGTTAACTCATTTGTGAGTCACAGAAATTCTTTGATAGAGAGACTATCAATTACATTTTTTATAATGAAGTCAGAATTCTAATTCATTTCTTTGTTTGGCCTGTGCTGTGACAGCATACTCTATACTGTTTTTCTGATATGGAAAGAGATTTTAAGACAAAAGGGAAAGTTAATATTGGTTGGGACCTACTGCAGAGTAAGCACCACACAGTAAAAAGAATAACAGCAGGGGTCATCAAATAAAAGCATTCACACAACTAGGAAGATACATGTGTTCTTAAGTTAAAAGATGAGAATTAATGTGGAAGGGAGCAGAAAGAGAAATTTTAATTTTAATTCTGGAAAGTCTACATTTGTTAGTGAAATAGGGAAGTTTAACAAAGTGTGTTGATGGCATTTTATATTTGTCTGTTGATAATTTTCCTTCTTGCCCCATGCTTTGGGATTTATCCTGGGTGGCATAAAGACTACAGTGAGAGCAAAAGCAAGCTTAATAATTATGCAAACCTAGTATGTGTTCCTTTATCCCAGCCCGTCAAAATATGTAAAAATAAGAGTTTGGCTATATAACTCTGTGGAACCAGTTGGGCCACGGTACCTAGTGGTCAGTGTGAGCATGGTGGGACCGTACTATTCAGTGCAGTCTGGGCTGGCCAAGCACAGAACTGTTAGTCCTGAAGGCACAGGAGCCAGTCACCAAGCAGGACTAGTTTTCCTTTTCCTAATGTGTCACATATGTTTCACCGTTTAAATAATGCAAGGCCTCCATTCATTGCCACAGGCTATTTATAGTTTCATTTCCCTATGTAATACTGACATCTAGAGGAACTTTGAACTGAAGCATTTCTACTAAACAGAAGTAGTATTTCTCCTTTCCTCTTCCTACGTAACAACCATGTGGATTTTCATTCCGACGTCTTTTCACTTTGCATTTCAGTTCCTCTGTAGAAGTTCCTAAGATAAGAGACAGGTCCACAGATACATTTTGTCATCCAAAGATGACATTTGTTTTCTATGAGTACAGAAGTCAGGATCAGTGCTGTCAGACAAGAAATTCATAAAACCGTTCCCATCATCCCGGAAGGCATGAAAGCCTCATCAGGACTGTGCTCCTCTGTTGGATTCACAGTGCTGGCTGAGATGAACAGAGGAGCTCATTTGATTCAGATTCACCTATTCATTCATTTAAAAATAATGGATGCAATTGCACGTGGATACTCTTGCCAGTTTCTGCCTGATCCTTTTACTACAACTCTTTTTCAAAGTTATAGTTTACATGTTTTAAAACATATATTAATATAGTTGGGAGCAGGGTACGGCGGCGCACACCCGTAATCCCGGTGCTCGGGGAAGCAGAGGCAAGCAGATCTCTGTGAGTTTGAGGCCAGTCTGGTTTACAAAGAGAGTCCAGGAAAACCAAGTCTACACAGAGAAAACACTGTCTCTAAAACAAACAAACAAACAAACAAACAAACCAACCCCATAAATTAATGAATTAAATTTGGGCAAGCATGATTTATGAGTTACTATAATAAATGCTTCTAAAAGTAAATATGCACACACATTATTGATGTATATAATTGATGAATGCTTTAGAGTGTGCGAAACTTTTCCTGACCACTGTGTAAAAATCAGATAGACCAGAGACTCATTTCTCTAGGTGAGCTCCTTAGATTTTGTCAACTTGACACAAACTTATCACCTGGAAAAAGGAACCTCAACTGGGGAACTGCCTCCAGCAGACTGGCCGGAGAGCATTTCTGTGGGATATTTTCTTAATAAATGATTGATGTGGGAGGGCCCAGCGCACTGTAGGCAAGGCCACCCCTGGGCAGGAGGTCCTGGTTACGTAAGAAAGCAGACTGAGCAAGCCATGAAAAGCAAGCCAACAGACAGGGTCCTGCTTGGTTCGTGCCTTTGCTTCCTTTGAGTCTCTGCCCTCTGCTTCCCTTGATGATCTACCGCAACCGGGAAATGCAAGCTAAATAGAGCCTTTCCTCCCCAAGTAACATTTGGCTATGGTATTTGTCACAGCAACAGAAAGCAAGCTAAGACACCAGGTAACAGCATTTCCGTCACATTCAGACTTTTTTTGAACCTTGTGTTTGGGAGGAAAAAAGAAAAAAACATTCCAATTAGCTGGTTCGAGGACAAATACATAATTAGACATCTCAGTTCATTTCTCACAGAACTGTTTTTCTCTTTCTACAATGTACTGTCTACGTGAGGTCAGGCTTCATTGCTCAGATGGCTGCTTTTGCCGCTCATCACAGACTCTATACCCACATCATCTCTGGAGTTTGACCTGCCACAGGAGCCTCCTCTTGCACATTGAAGGGCACCTACTTACTGCCTGAGCATGAGTTTCTTTCTGCCCTTTACTTCAAACCTGCTTTTTCGGAAGTGGTGGGCTGACTGAAAGGGAAATTAATCCACAAGGACCACTTTGCCTACTCCCCCTTTCATTCCCATTCAATAAAAACTATCCTTTAAAAAAAAAATGCTAAAATGGACGTAACCTCAACAGTGACAGTAAAAGTGAGACTTCAGGAGACCTCAACAATACTGTAGCTAATTTTTGTGGGTTGTGTGGTTGTGTTGAGTGACACATCTGTCCTCCGGTTGGAATATGGAGTCTTCTCTCTGTCGCTCAGGAAAGCATTGTGCAGTGAAGGGAGGAAGTACTTGCAGAAATGGTTCTACCAGTGTGGGAGTGTTGTGCCATTAGGCTGTGTCACAGGAAAGCCAGGCTTCCCTGGGGACCATCTCTAAAGCCTCCCTCACACTGACCCTCATATCCTTTGCTTCACTTTAGAACAAAATGTTACATGGATAATTGCATCCCTGCTTTTTGGGGATTATAGTTGCCGCAGAACAGTAAATTAATAACATCACAATTGGAACATGACAAAAACTGCCCAAATAGTGGTTTTTGTATCTTGTGGCTATGGTGATGCCATGGCGAACACTTTCTGATCATCTGAGCCAAAATACAAAAACAAAATTATAACAATTTAAAATGACTGTGTTAAATTTTAATGGGGTTCTTGATGAAAGAATTGAAAGTGAATAATTCCCGAAAGAATACAAAGAGAACGATTTTTAGAAGAAATAGTAAAAGCATTTTTCCTATTTGAGTGTAAAAGATTGATTTTAACATCTTATGTGTATTTACTGTTTGTTTAGAATGAGTGTGCCACAGCAGAGTATGGAGGCGAGAGAGCAACTTGCTAGAGCTGATTCCCTCCTTCTGCCATTGTGGGTGCTGAAAACTCAGCACAGGTCATTGTGCTTGGCAGCAAGTACCTGAACAGGCTGAGCCATCTCACCAGCCTGACGAAAGATTAGACTTAGAGACGGTTTGTTTGAAAGGAAATCTATTTTCCTTCATGTGCAGATGCTCTTCAATTCCCAGTGCACTAAACACTGAGAAAACACCCGGTGATCCTGGTCAGAAAGGAAGAATTCTCTTTCACACAGCACAGCCTGTGTTGTGGGCTGTGGG